TATAATATAATATATATAAGTATATATATACAAAATATGAAAGTATATTTTCTCAATCGGTTTGGAGAGCCACATGACAGTATTTAAGTATTTAATTCTACTCTTGGAGATGATCTGTCTGGGTAGATTGAGATATTTGTATTTACAGGTCTCCCTCTAATTAAAGACCACTCCAATTAAAGACCACCCCCAATTAAAGACCACTTTTCTGTGGTCCCAAATTAACAAATGTCTTTTATCTTTATTATTCTAATTAGAGACCAAAGCTACTACGGACCATGGGAACCCCGGTTCCAGAGGTGGTCTTTAATTGGAGGGAGGCCTGTATGTATTACATGTGTTAAGACAACATAAATGAACATTTGTTAAGCAATTAGCATTTAACTTTTTTGTTTTTTGGGGGTTTTTTTTGGATCACCCCACCGGTCAGACTGTATATTTAGCTGTGTGTATTATCCGGATTTTATAATTCTAAATAAGAAGTTCTATGTTTATTTAAGTGTTTGAGTATTCTCTCGACTTTTTTGACAGATAAGCTGATTCGGTGCCCAGTACCATCCCTCATTTGTGAAAGATCCAGAAACGCGTTTTGTCTAAATTCCAATCGTAAATTCATGTCTCAATAAATAATAGTTAGTGATTCTTACCTCTTGCATTTTACTTTTCTTGGTCTTTATATCTGCTTTGCTAACATTTCCGTTAGCAGTGGTGATATCGCCGTAGCTCAAGCGTTGAGGTTTTCTTGCTGGGGTCGGGGCCACTTTCCGATTTTCGATATTTATTCGATGGCGATCCGTGCGCAACTTCAATTCTCCATATAACATCTGTCCGTCAAACATTTAAAAAAAATCGAATTTAATTGGATGTAGACATTTATTCTTACTTGCTTGTTACTTGTTCCACTCCGTCATCATGTTTAATACACTTGGCTGCCATTGATCAACAGAAAAGTTGACATTGAAAGATTTTTTTTTAATTTTATTTTTTATAAATGAATGAATACATGTCACCCACGGTCAGGAGGACTCTAGAACTCATCGCTGGGCAGAGGCGTTCATTCCCTGATCAGGTTGGGTCTTACATAGTGCAAGACAATCGCTGTGATTACCTATAATATATGGGTGATGTGGCATGATTCGCACAAAGCAGTTATTTATGGCCTAATAAAAGAGCTTTAATAAACTGTTTACCTCTCGTTGTCGGCTTTCCTGCTTTTTCTGGTCAAGTTTATCTAGCCTTATCATTTCCGAAAAGAATCGCTCTCCAAGCACATCCATAAATTCAAACATTTGACGTTGTTGCTTCACTTCTTTGCGTCGTTTTGCAAGAATAGTGTGAAAGCGCCGTCTGGCCATCCGCCCGCGAACAAGCCGTTGGCACGTGATCACACAATCTATTAAGTTATCCAGGACTGAGTCAAGTTGTTCAGTGTGCCAGTACTTAAGGAATACCTACATCAAATAAACAAAATAGATTTTACTATCAACATATCAACATAAAATGAATATCATCGTAATGATCACCAGCAACGGCGATGGCGGCGACGACGGGCGGCAACGGTAAGGACATCAACAATAAAAATAATATACTTTAATACAAATCGATGTTTGCCCTACCTGACGTGAGGATCGAATTCATCACAAGTCACCAAGACAAGCTCGATAGTCGTGTGGTTCATTTTTATTCATTTCATTTGAGAACGTATAAGCATTCAGTATCCTACTACAACACGTCAAGTAGGGCAAACATAGATTCGTACATTAACAATAAAAATAACAATAGATGACACATTTTCGTTTTTGTAAAGCTATATGGAAACGGAGTACTTACTCCGAACGTTTCGATCCCTATATCGGAGAGCTTTATCGACTGACAGCAGAGTGTATTGTAGCTTAAGTTTGATAAAGATCTCTGATAGGGATCGAAACGTTCCGTTTTCTATAGCTTTACAAAAACGAAAATTTGTCATTCATACAATTTTGAGGTTATAAGGAAATGTTTTCAAAAAAATAATAATAGGCCTATTGCTAAATTTCACATTTAACAGTAAGTAAATTGCCAATTACAGGATCGAACGACGCTTTATAAACCAAGTCTATTTTTTAGGCTTAGGGAGTGGAGTCCTATTCATTTTATTCAATGCCCTACCTTAGTTTTACCAATCTCGTATCCTTCCACACCGACCACTTCAAATATTTTCTTACAGGAAGAAGAAGAAACCTTTATATCTTTTGAAGCATTGAAAGCGATAAACTTGTACCTAAATGAAGAAAAATAAAAAAGAGGTAGGCCTATGCTTACAATTAAGGCCTATATTTATGAAATAATACAACATATGTTTTTCATTAAGACCACTACTACAGTGGTTCATACTGAATTACGTTTTTTAATGTAAAAAATTTACAGTACCTGCGTAGGAATTCTGCGAATAAGAGCCGGGTTGGGAACCCCTCACGACGAATGCGCGTAGTTTCCAAGACACCAGTGTAACGGAGTTGCCTCACAACAAGTTGGGGTTCAAATTCGTTTGGTTTACTGTATATATTGGGCTTGACACAACGGACAAACTGCGGCTCTGCTCCTAGCATCTTCTGCATTAGATCCGTCAAAGATTCCTATACAGATAAACGAAAATAATTTCAGTGACATAAATCAGTATAAACGGTCGTATTAAAAGTTCTATTATGTACAATTCAAATAATAGCGAGAATAATGAGAAAAACTTCTAAAGTCTACAAGTGAGTAAACACAGAGTTTAAACAAAATACTAGCATTGATTTTGTCTTGTAGCAATTATTTGCTTCAAATCGATAAAGACATTTTTGGCAATTAAAACGATTGTCCAACTAATGTAGGCTTTTATAATGTGGATACTGCAGTTGCCAACTCAACTTATGTGTATGTGGTTGATGATTATTTTCTTCAGGGAATATGCTCAAATCAGAAGGAAATAACTTGTTTTACAATGCTTACTCTAAAATGAAGTCCACTTGAATTGGCTTGCTTTCGCTTCTTGTCTTCTTTTGCTTTCGCTGCTCCTTCTTTCATTCTAAAATTCATACACAAAGCAATGTATTATAAGACTTTCCTAAACATAAATTAACACGGGATATTTAGGCCTACAACAAATAACATGTATTGTCCTAATAATAACATGTATTGAAAAAATAACGTGACCACAGTCCATTTCTTTGTTTAATATATAGATATTAATATAGAGCCTGATACAAAATTTTTAAACAATTATATTTTTAGTTTCACTCATGGACTTTCTTTTAGAGGATTCTAGAATATAATTATAATAATCATATAGCAATATAACCTACATACTACGAGTGCAGAAGGCTGTAGTGTAATACCAAATTCATTCACGACCATTTAACCATTTAAGAGTTATTAAAAAGGAAGTGACCAATGGTGATGTCAAGTACAAAGACGCACCGGATGTGACAACATTCCGCACGCATCATTTCAGACTTCCATAGTAAACAAAAGGAAATTTAGCAAAATGCGTAGTAGAAGCTATTTCCATTGTCATTGGATGATAATATAAGATACGGTATGGCGGGGGGGGGGGGGGGGGGGGGAAGGTAGATCTGCAATAATATCCTATGACTCTATCCTATGTCTGTTGTCTGTGTCTGCAGTATGACGCTCGCCTATATAATAGTATATATAATATATATATATATATAGCTCTGATTCTTGTTCTAGCTGTTACGGTAACTAACGTCTTAACTTTTACTTATAAATTTCTATAGGCTTATCTACCGAAATCCTGGCTGCGTTTCTCACAGCGAAAGTCATTGATCGAGTTCCTAGTCCACATATCATCCCCCTGAGCATCTTACATTAGATGGATATGTGCGCTATATAAAACTACACTGTTATTATTATTATTATTATATATGTATATAGGCCTCTGTATATTTATGTGTTTATGTATATATATATATATATATATATTATATGTGTGTGTATGTGCATACTAGACAGTTGGATGATGTATATCACAAGATGGTTTATTAAGTGGCATACATCATATATTGTTTATACGTGACGTACTGTTTCTTGAGTTTCTTTCCCTGACTACGTGAGATACTCATCGTCCCATCATGAATGATCTTTGTCGGTTTCTTACAAAGAAGAATATCACGTTGGTTGCGAAGAGCTTGCCTCACATCTCTGTAAAAAAATGAAACACATAAAATTAATTAGTATGCTACTAGAAAGGTTTTACAATGTTAAGGCAACAATAACGGATATTGTTACTGTCATTAATCTTAGCCGATCCTCGTTTTACGAAAATCATTGATCATTCGTAATATTAGAATAACAAATATAATTTTACAGTAATAATTTTAAGTACAATACTGAGTTAAGATCGTGTCTACAACTATCGCTTTATCCAACGTTCGAGTTTCTTCCAACGTTCGAGTACACTTACTTCTCATTTCCTTCATCTGAGAACAAGAACTTTAGCAAGATGTTTCCACTTTGGCTCATGACATCTTGTAAGTTTTGGCTGAAAGTGTCTCTGTTCTTCTCCAAAAATCCATTTGCGTCATACATAATCTAATGACAATATATACAATAATAGATTTAACTCACTAACGCTATAATGTATCATTCACAAAATACTATAGATAGGACGATACAACGGTAATTCTGAAATACTGAATCACAATGGCTTGTTTCACTGTTATTGGAGTTGGTTGCATAATATCTTAAGTCAAACTTATCCGTGAACCCCATAGTATATCCTCAATTTAAGGGCATTAAGATAGTCATTAATATGAAAGATCTCAGAAATAATACACACAGTGATAGGTAATAAAACAAGTACTGTAGCTCTAAATTATCGATTACAGAGAAGCTAATGTCTTAACACACAGAAATACACTGTAAAATTTGCCTTACAAAACGGAAAAAAAAAACATTAAGGGATGATCATGTGATCGTGTTTGATTTTAATATTTGTACTTACATCTGCAGCGAAGTGTTTGACGCCGAAGACGGCCAAGCCACTATTTTTTCTGGCTGGCTTTATAAAGTTAGAGTGTTTGCCATGATTTGATGTAATTTTGCTGACGAGTGACTTGTCAGATCCCTTTGGAAAGCGGCTCTCTTCATCCAGTAATGAAAATATTCCTAGAGGTTTCTGAAGATGGTGAGTAAATTGAAATGAAAGGTTTAATAGACTATTTTTGCACTTCTGCATGCTAAATAACTTAGGCATACGAACACTAACACTAGGCCTAGCAGGCCTATTATTTATGTTTTATTCCGTTTTGTGTTTGTGTCAAGATAATACCGTAGTAATAGGAATGATGATCGATTTTGCCCTAACCAACGTGTTCGTCTACTGAATGCTCAGTACGTTCCCTAATACTTGCACACACTTTTCTTAAGTGATCTCTGGTGGGAATTGAACCCACGACCTCCAGATAACTAGCCTGGTGTCTTAACCACTAGACCACCGAGCTTGCACCTAATGGCTAGTGTTGAATCCGATAAAAAGGAGCGGGTACTGCAATGTTATTTCGTTGGTGTTTGCACCAAGAGATTAGTAATAAGACACCGAGATAGTTATCTGGAGGTCATGGGTTCGATTCCCACCCGAATAATCTTCGAGATTTTTTTTTAAATTCCTATTATTTGTTGCTGTAAGATTTAAAATTTTAGTAAAGGTTCACCATTTACCGAAAGGCAAAGGTCCAAAGTGGGTTGATTGTCAGTAAACTTGATGCTAGATTTGGGGATTCCCTCTTGTGCGTACTCCTGCAGTTCCCATGCAAATATACGCTGGTTGAAGTAGAACTGTAACTGTTCGTTAGTAACATTGATGCACAGTTGCTCGTAGCCATTTCTCTCAAAGTTCTCAAACCCATAGATATCGAGGATACCCACTTCACAACCTGGTTTGCTCCTACAAATTAAACAGCATGATACATCCTTTTCTAAGAAAAGTTTGATTTAAATTTAGATCTATTAACTAAAATTATGTTTTGGCAAAGCTGCACAAAATATCCTAAATTTTCCTATTTCGATTTTTAAAGATATCTCTACCACATTTCCTATATAAGGTTTACGTATAATTATTACCATAGAAATGAAGTAAATCACCAAACTTACATGTGACCTTCGTCGGGAGCAAGCAATGTGTTGATCTGGCGAACAATCCATGAAAACAGGCGGCTGTACAGGGCTTTGGCGAGGGCATCGCGCCCGTCTTTGGCTTTCTCAACATTCTTTAAACTCAAGACCCGTTCTCCTACAAGAGTATTCATTGTAATTAAATGCTATTTAATACAAAGAACAACATAAAATAGGCTTCAATGCGCAATTGCCCTCCGACGGTGGTCATAACAGTCTTCCATTAATTGAATATAAAATCCCATCTCGTTATTATAATACACCTGACCGTAGGTAGTGTATAAACTGAGCATAAGCACTACGGTATTGTCTGATGAACTATTTATTGTATTATGTAAATATCATTTTCTAATTATACTCTTACTATTGTATATTAAACAATAGTACAGATTTTGAATGTTTAAAAACTGAGGGGAAAAGTTAGAAAATGGGTGGTTACGCCCATTCTCCCATCAGTCTTTTTAATAATAATAAAGATTTATAAAGCGCACATCTCCACCAAAGGTGATCAAGGCGCATAGACAATTAAACCAACACGATCCAGATAATTCCCAGAAGAATTTTCAGCAAAATCCAAATACCAATTATCCCATCGAGGCAATGTTGCTCCCCATATAAGTATACGCAGATACCCAAAGGCAGTATGTTGAGCATCAGCACCTTCCACCCGAGGATAAGCCCGGGGTTTGTCTTTAAAAATAAGTTGTACAACATATGCAAAATTGTTTTTCCCCGGAGCCTGTCTTTAATACAATTAGATTAGTTTAAAATGAGCATCACCCTTTAGGAAACAGTGTATCGATCGATAACAATTAATCTTACCTCTAGTGACACTAACATTCGATATTAAGGCAGTTGCAAGTTCCGTCGGATCAATAGACAAAAGCTTTGATACTGAAAGAAAAAAAAATAATTGCATCATAGCAAATGTATTGATATCCATTATATATATTTAAAAATCTACAGGGGTTTTCATCTGTTTTGTATAACAATTTGATGCTTTCACTAGAGTAAGTTTTATTGTAATTTATGAATCTATCTGAATTATATATTGCATGTTATTGAATTTAATCTTTTTCATGTACTGTATACTGTATTTTTAATGTATATTTTAAAATTTTCATGAATTTTATATATATTCCATTAAATTATCTAATTGTGTAATTTTTTTCATGAATTTTATTATATATTTGTATGTTATTTAATGAATCTTATTTTATGTGTAATTTTAATGTTCTTATATTGTAATTTTTCATAATTTTTTTATATTTGCATGTTATAAAATTTAACCCTTTTTGTGTGTGATTTTAATGTTTTGTTTTTTTTGGGTAATTAATACCATTGACCAAACTTAAAGTAATAAATTAGTAATTGTTGAATTTGTATATCCTAATAATTTTAATGTTTTTAATGTATTGTAACATTCTCGCAATTCATTTTTCTTTTTGTAAGTTACTGCAGTGAGATGAAATAAATTAAACTTAACTTAATATTTTACATACAATTTCATATACACCGTTCGTAATTGAATTATTTAATTGATTTAATGAAGGACCTCCATCAGTGATAAACGTTTCGGACACAGTTCTATTGGACCTTTTCTTTAGAGTATCAATCAAGCTTCAAAATTCACCAATCAGAACAGGGCTAGGAATACGCGTATATCCCACAAATACACACGTAAGTTTGTTGTAGGTACCATAAAATTATTAAAGGGGTGGGGTTTAGCGGAACGGTAACTTGTGCCCATCGTTGACATAATTAGGAACAGACATTTTTAAAACATTCACGAAAGTTTGATGAATCAAATCAAAATTGGTTCCTATGTTAAAGATGTATTGTCCCTTGAAAATGACAGAAAATCATACAAAAATTAATTAACTCGCTCATTTTGCAGTACCATACTAATTATTAGCTTGAGCATAGAAATTATTGAATTAAAAAAATGTGTACCCTGATTTTTAAACTGGATAATTATAATAACAATAATAAAACTTTTTAAAATATACTAATTTCTATGTTCAAGTTGATAATTTTTATGTTCCTTAAGAATGGGCAAGTTAATTTTAAAAATGATTTTTTTTTTATATTTTGCATTGGACAATACATTATTAATGTAGAAATAAAAAGTAACTCCAAAATCTCAATATCGTTTGCTATTTTTGCAATTTTCAGGGGACATGCTTATAAGCAACAAATCTTAATGGAGAAGGTGCCCGTTGTAATATACAAATTCGATATGCCCTCACTCACTTACCGACTTTAAGTACATACTCATCGACGATATAAGCTCCTTCTGTATCCTGATCAGTTTCAAACTCAATATCAGCAACTTGAACAACGGCAGAGAGCATCGTGAAAATCATGTGGATATCCTGGCAACGAAATGTGAATTCATTGTAATGTTAATCCAGTTAATACTAATTTCGGTTGGTAAGGCAAAATATGTAGGTCTATGCTGTCCTAGTGTTAAGGTGTTTTATTCTTAATCCTAAAAGGTTTATCCATAATGGGCAAATCTGATCCTGTATTATTTGGTATGCATCAGGACTAGTGTTTTAGTTATCTCTTTTGTGTGATTGCATGATGAGGGAATGAACGATCTTAGTACAGAGAATTCAAACAGTGGACCAAATTTTAGAAAAGAAATAAAATAAAAACCATACTGTAAGTTCAGTTGTTTATTTAAAAATGTAGTCGAACAACAGTTGAGTTGAATTGAAACAGATCTTGTGTGCTAAGCCTTTTGGCTATATATTAGATTTTTATCTTACAACAAACCCGAAAATAACACAGCCGACCAATAAGGCAAATACACGCACATCACATGCTGTATATAAAACAAGAAATATTTCCTATAAAAAAAATAAAATTAAAAAAAACACGCCGCAACATCTTTAAACCTACCTCCGGGGTGAATCCCACCATCTCTAAAATATCTTGAAGTTCATCAAACATTTTCTGGCAGTGGAAAAAGTCATCTTCACTTGAATATATGTGATCTCTTCCATACTTGTTTAGCACTCTGTAAAAATTAGCGAGATAAAATTAAGACAAGTGGCCTATGAACAATCATGAAGGAATTAGTTTAGTTTAACTAATTCCCCCCCCCCCCC